GCTGCTGCGAAGCCCAAAGCAGCACCCAGTCAGCCGAGCTGATGGAACAGACGGGCATTTTGAACATACTCGCACACCAACACGCACACGTGCATGTATGCGGATACCTTGCCAAGGCCCCAGACATTCACGTCACCACAGCACCTTCTATCAGTTCAGGCACGTCGGCAGCTCCAGCCGACTGCAGCTGTGATCTGGTTCAGGGTGGTGATGCAAGCCTAAGCCGACCCACAACTCGGCTGCATTGCTCCGGCACATGGAAGGTGGCCAAACTGCACGGCAGATCACAAGAGAGACAAAAGAGAAAGTATTTATGAAAGCTACAGGGGTAAAGGCATGCATGAGTGAAAAAGCAACGGTAAATAAAAATGAACAAAAAATAAGGATGCAGAACTACAGAGAGGAAAATATCAAAAGCAGACATAAAGAAAGCAAAAATACAGCAGAGAGGAAAAATAAAATACAACAAATAGGGGACAGAAGAGCATCCAATAAGAAGAGACATTGAATTTTCTCTATTAAGTTTCTCTGTGACTTTGCCACCACAAGTACCTCATGAGCATCACAGATCTCAGTGAGACCACATTCCCATGTCTCACACGTACATCCTCCCTCCTGCCCCACTCTCCCAGTACCTGAGGAAGGCACCTCTTACCACCAGCCCACAGACGAGAACCAAAGCCAGTCCCTCATGGTACACCCAGCGAGACGCCTGGCTGGGGGTCTCGACACCCGGGAGCGGGGATCCACTCCTCACCCCAGCCTGGCCAGCCCAGCCGGCAGTGCCTCCTGCTCCGCAGCAGCCCTGAGCGCAGGACGGGGGACTGCTGGTTACCTGTGATGTGTCACTTGTCTCCTGCCACCGAGAAGAGGTGTAGTCATTTGTTTCGTTAAATGGCATTCTTGTACCCAGCACTAATTTTATCCCTTTACAAATATGTTTTTCCTTCTAGCAAGTGAAGTGCAGCTCTCCCTCCTGTACAGTCATTCTGCTCTCCTGCCTCTCTTACCATTACTCACACTTACCGCAGTGAGCCCAGATTCAATAAAGGCCCTGGCTGTTGCGGTGCTGAGCACTGCAGTGTGCCTTTGCCTAAATCCACAGCCCCAAACTAAGACACCTTGCCTCAGCGCACACTGCAGACAAAAAGTAGAATACCTAAGAACGGGACCAACACTGTCCACCCTGCTAAGTGAAGAACTCCACAAGAACCACTTGGACATGCCAATAAATCTCTCAGGACACCTCAAATAGCAGTGGATCCTAAGGCTGGGCTGAGGTAAGATACCTCGTGCGGAATTCCCAATCCTGAGCCTTTACTCAGGCACCTACTCCATCCCTTGCGGGGGTCACAATACCGCTCCGAGCCCACACACTATTTAGCGCTCACCTAGGAACTCAGTTTTCTTTCCTCCAGCAAAGGCACCAGCAAAGTGTCTCAACAGCATGGCACAGACGTGTGCTGGGTGCGGCGCCCTCAGCTGAAGCTGTTGCCCAGCACACAGAATAACTGGTTTTCCACCAGCTGCAACGATGGCAGGGAAAGCCAGCAGGACTGGAGGGGCTGGGGCAGGTGTTCTCAGCCCCATCCTGTGCATAAATCTTACGCAGTGTATTTGGGCAGTGCTGGAAGCCGGTATTTATGTAACCCTCCTCACTCCTGGCGTGCTCATCAGTAAGCAGGGGCTTGGGGATCTACGCTTTAGACCGTGGCCTTGACAGCAGCAGCTAGCTGGTTCTCATTCTCAGCCCCTCCAGCAATCCCGTGGGCCTAACACAAGGCGCCTCGGTACTCGTGAAGAAGCGGCACCCAACTCACCCAGGCACTGAACAACCGCAGCAGAGCCGATCGCCCCTGCTCTGCGGAGCTTACAGATGCAAGCGAGACAGAGAGCATCAGGTTCAGAGAAAGGGACGGAACCGGTACCAGTAAGTGCCACAATAAATAAGCAACCAAGCACAAAGTCTGATTTGCGCATCTCCCACCCTGTAATTGCACACTTTTGACTCGAGTTTCTGTAAGGACAGGAACCTGCAAACACAAGTCAGCCTTGACACACAAGTCTTAGCTTTGAAACTGAGTCACCCAGGCATTTTAGGTTGCCACACTGTGTAACAGCTACACACTCCTCGTTTCTTAAATAAACTTTGGGCGTCAGCAACCTGTCCTTCTGCTTCAGAGATTAAAGTCCCAAATTTCACAACAGCAAATCACTCCAGGCAAATGTAGCAATGGAAGCTAAACACAACCTAAAGCAAGACAGTACTTGGCATATTACCTAGCTGAGTCTACAGATTGTAAATTTAACATGCCATGCAGACGCACATTGCTCTTTATGAGAAAGTCCATTCAATTCCCCACAAGAAGAATAGGAAACAATGCAAATGGCACTACAAACTTCTAGCACTTCATACAAGGATTTTTCACTTTTACCTACTATGCACTAACAGGTGAGACTCCTGTAAAATCTCAAAATTCCTCTTTTTGTTGCCATTCCCCATTTAGAGTTTTTAGAAGTGATTACAATGAGGAGCTCCAGATCCTCTCATCAGGCAAACCAAGGAAAGGATTAAGTGGGACACATATAAAGTTTGGGGCTTTTTAACCCTCAGCAATGATGGAAATCAAGGACTTCTCAAAAAAAAAAAAAAATTCTAATAGTTGTGCATGCCGCAAATCCAGGTGCAGCTTGTGTTTAGTGAAGAGACATAATAAGGTCCGTGGCAACAGAAGATTAACCTTCTTCAATTCTACAGCCCACTGAATGTATTGATTTTGAGCTGAAAATATCATCTGTAGAAATGAAATACTGTGTTCTCATTGTTTAATTCTTGATGTCTCTGCTACCTAGTTTCGCAACTGTAGATAAGCGATAAAGACACTTGCCCACATAAAAGGTACCAAGTTCAGGAACACGTGTCCGTCATGCCGCTGCCAGCACTCACTGTCACCTTGCACGATGCATCCACTTCCAGACCCAAATGATGGACTACACTTGATAACGAACCTTTGTCTCCTCATCTACAACCTACTGTTCACCCCCTGCACTGTACTATATGCACTCAAACCCCTTTCACCGCATCCTTTTGTGGAGCGCACGGAATGCGAGATGGTGTCTGTAGCCCTCCCTCCAGCCCCCTCCAACGCATCTGTTGTCCCCGAGAGAGCCCGCCTAGCACAAGCTGGTTCACATCCACGGGGCAGGAATCAGGCAACATTTCCTCCCTGCTACTGAACTACTTCACCTCTTCCATATTCCAGTGGACTAGCTTTGCCATTGTACCCTTTCAATAAAATCCATCCTCCCCGAGTGTCTCCTTAAAGATCCACTTGCCCGACAGTTCTGGTGCCCCCGCCGTACTTCTAGCAGACTTTGTTTTGGCCACTCCCAGTATTTCACAAACATGAATTACACTTTGAAGAATGCCCGTTAAGTATGACTTGCCACTAGTTTGCACGTGAGGAAACACAAGGGCAGAGAGCTCAGCTAGGACCCTAGCAGGGACAGAAGTTGAAGGCAAAAAAAAAAAAAAAAAAAATCTGTTTCCCGTCTTTAACACCCAATTACGCTTCTGTATTTTTTTCTTCAAACCTTCTGTAATTCTTTAAAATGTCTGGCTTCCAGAATTCCTAAGAGTTTCACCATTAAAATGTTAACCATTAAAGCTGGCATTTTAAAAACACCCTGGGATTCAGTCATTCCCGAGATTGTATATTGCTCCCTGCTACAACAAGGATTTGGATCCCAAGTATCTATCATTGCAGATGGTTGCCCTCATCATCCGCTTCAGCCATGGGGCACTGTGCTCTCTCCTGCCCAAACAGCAACAGCTCTTCCAACACGCACACCCATCCCATACCTGTCTTCTCCACATACCTCAGAGGTCCTGGGAGGAATGAAGCACGAGCTCTTAGGAGGTCTATCTGCTGAGGTGGGCATGGGATTTGAACTTCAGGTTTCCGCTTCTCACAGGGAGAAACCTAGGAGCAGGAACCAAGGTCATCTCACGGTCATATGGCACCTGAGCAGGTGATGTGGGGGGCCTAAGCTTTACCTTTAGATGGCAAGGGGGAAACTACATGTTCTGGATGGTAACAGGAAGAGAAATATTAAAGGTTGATACTATGTTGGGCAATTTATGGTAGTAGAATATTGCCTGGCTCAAGCAGGTGAGGTCTGGCTTCTCTAACTCGATGCTTCTTTGTGCTTGATGGTGGGGGAGCAAAACTCTTTGCGCCTTAGTAATTTAAATCAAGCTGTCATCTATCTGAATACCACAATATCAGCAATCATTTGGACTCTCTTTCCACAGAAACACTTGAGACAGCAATGACCACTGCCACTCTGAAACAAGTACAAACAACAGTTTTATCCTACCTACTTATTAGTTATTCTGCTTTGATTAAATTTTGACAGAAGTTTCTGTGTGTGAAGGCACTGCAGAAAACAAAATAAGTAACTCCAGAAGATGGCATTTCCTTCCATCCCAGGATCTGCACAAGCTGGAGAGACCAGGGGAATACCAAAATTCCTATTTCTCCTCTTGCTGTTTCTATTCCTACAGATGCTGCTATAACAACAACATCCAACAGCTTTTGTACAAACTATACAACCATTTTAGAGGTACTGAGCTTTTTTTTTTTTTCCCCCTATAGGAGGAGCTTATTGAGGAGCTTATAATTACCACTCCTTTGACTGTTTTTTCTTTCTGGGAATAAGAGGAAGTAAATGATGTAAGACCAAAGACACCACAATGATGTCCCCACCCAAAAGGCCATCTGTTTGGGGGGTGTAAATCACTATCCCTCTGGGGACACCAATGAAAATACGAAGATTTACAACAGCGGTGACCTGGCGCCAAAGCATTCCTACAAATACTAATCAAAAACAAACAATTAAAAAACCCACAACCCAAAAAATGCTGCTGCAGGCTGCAGTGAGCCATCCCCTTCCCAGCCTGCTACCAAACCAAGCTCTGGCCTACTTTGATTTTGTTCAGTGTGTAAGCTCCCAGTACTTTTACATATTGATCGTCTGCTATTTTTACTCATCAGCCAGCATACACAGCAAAGCAGGTGTATATGTACATATATGTATGTCTGTGTGTGTATCTACACGTACACATCCCTCCCAGACTTGTTTATATAAAACCAGCAAAAGAATGGATTTGTCCTATTCTTAATAACAGCACTAACACGTTATTTTTGTTTAATATTTTAATATTACCTGTTTTCCTTTTGTTATTGAATCATGCAAATGTAATTATCAACCTTATCACGTGAATGCTTCTCACTTCCATAAATTTGCTCCTCCAGTCAGTAGTGTTTCAAGAAGTGTAATATAGCACAAGAGAACGAAAAGCTGGTGACACTAGTGGAAATGCCTCTTTTTTCAGCAGAAAACCTTGAAGGATGACATAGACAAACCAGGTCAGAAGATTTTCCTTTGCTGTAGCCCTAACACTGTGCTCCCACCATTACATTGGGAAAGTCCATGACTTCCTTCCAAAATCAAAAAGGTCATTGTGATTGATACGCTGGAGGGCAAGGATGCCATTCAGGGGGACCCTAACAAGCTGGAGAGGTGGGCCTGCGTGAACCGCATGAAGTTCAACAAGGCCAAGTGCAAGGTCCTGCGTGTGGGTCGGGGCAATCCCAAACACAAGTACAGGCTGGGCGGAGATTGGCTCGAGAGCAGCCCTGAGGAGAAGGACTTGGGGGTACTG